TATATATATATGTGTGTGTGTGTGTGTGTGTGTGTGTAATTTTATTTTTATCATAGATGGGGACCAATCTAAAGTGGCCATAAAAGATGAAGAAAGTTCATTAATAAAATTGGAAGAAAAGTCATGTAACAATCCTTTAGCAGGATTAGCAAATACAATTAATTCAATTACAAATGGTGTCAACAATGAAGACTCAACAACAATTCCTGTTTCTGTACCAGTTAGTGCAAATAGTAAACATGTACCACCAAAAGCAATGGTCAAACCACAAGTTCTTACACATGTAATTGAAGGTTTTGTTATTCAAGAAGGTATGAATTTAATGTTTGAAATATCATAATATTATTATCAATAAATATTAATCTAATGGTTTATATTTAATTAATTATAATATATTAATATTTTAATATATATATATTAATATTTTAGCGTCTGAACCATTCGCAGTTAATCGAACATCATTGAATAATACAGTTAATCAAGAAACAAATAATATTTTAAATCGTAATAGTAATTCATCATCTGAAAAAGAAAATCATGAAGAACCTCCAAGTAAGATATAAAAAATTCAATCTTTTTTAATATTAAATTTTTTATATAAATATTTTATATATAAATATAAGTAACATTAAATCTGAATTTACTCTAGGAAAAAAACATGCACCTAATTATTCTAATGATGAAGATATAAATAATGTTCAAATTGGAAAATGCGAAGCTTGTGGCAATTTAGTAGATGAACAAAACACTAAATTTAAAAAAGAGAAACGATTTTGCTCATCTGATTGTGCAAAAAGGTTAATAAATGAATTAGTTGTAGAATATTGTATATTATTAATATTTAATAATTTTTTATTATGATATATTTTGAATTAAATAGCAAAAAACGAGAAGTAAGAGATCGTGAGGGTACTGAAAAACAATGGACTGAGATAGAGACTGAATCTAAAAATGATGGAGACATGAAGAAAAACGGAGAAGAAAAATCATTATCCGCCACTACAACTACTACTTCTTCTGTTGATGATACACTGCCGAAAGTTAATCCTGTAAAGTGGACGGTAAGGATGTTATGCAAGTATAAAAATAACAATAAAAAAAAAATAATCAATATAATTAAAAATTTATAGGTTGGTGAAGTATGTGATTTTATACGCGGATTACCTGGTTGTGCTGATTATGCAGAAGATTTTGCTATTCAAGAAATAGATGGTCAAGCATTAATGTTACTCAAAGAAGATCATCTTATGTCGGCTATGAGTATTAAATTGGGTCCTGCATTGAAAATCGTAGCTAGAATTGATTCAATGCGTGTGGAATCGTTATCAAATTCTAATCCTACATCTAATAGTTCATAATGTTTATCATTAAATATTTTTACTCGCAGAATTTCAAGTTGCAGCCTGTGGGCTACAGGGTTTGTGCAAGTATTTGATCAGATCGTAGAATTAAGGTGTTTAACAAAACATAAAATGTTTTTATTAAAAAAATGAATGTTTTTTTTTTTTTTTTCTTTTCTTTATTTCGTTTGATCAGAATGTTCTTTTCTTTAAATGGAATAAAATATTGATTGTTAAGAATCGGTACTTCAAATTTTACTTTTATGATTTAATGATCGATCTATATAAAACTAAATTTCATTATTTTGTTGGTATACAAAGTAGCTACATTAATATTTCGGATAAATATATGTATTTAATTTTTTAAGTTCATTGTATTATATTAACAACATATATATACACAAATCCACATATAGTAAGTCTTACATTGTTTGTTACAAATGTAAATAGGATTGAATATTTGTGACTTTTCTAGTTTGACATGTATGTATATTTACTTTTAAAAATTTTTCTAAAATATTGCTGTTTGACTAATATAATGAAAAAACTGAGTACAAATTATGTCTATTACATAAAAAAAATAGAACGTTGTATATAAATATGATGTATTTTGTACTCGAAAACTCCTTTTGGAAGCTGTATAAAAAATATTGCCTTCTGTAAGACTTACGATAAATTCAAAAAACATTTGGCATTTTTAAAATGATTAGGCTTTACGATAAATAGCAATTTGTGTGCATGATTATATCACAATTTTTAATTGAGAGCATTTGCGATAACATTCTTGACCATGTATTACTTTGTAAATGTATCATGTGCACTCAACTTACGTATGTGTAAATATTAAACATAAAATGTTTATTTAATATACAAATTTTATAACATAAAATTTTACTTATTAACAGTAGTTATCCTTCCATTTAAAATAACTAGTTTTTAATTTAATAATGACATATTTTAAATACAAGAAGAATATATTTCAATTATTTGTATAAAATATGACATTGATTCAGGAAAACGATATTCTTTTTCATTAATATAATACTTAATGAATGTGAAATGTACAAAAAAAAAATAAAATGAATGCACATGTGTTCATTAAAAATGTTTTTCAAAATTAATATTCTAGCAAAAAATATTTGCATTTATAAAAAATGTGCAGTACTTTAATATTATAACTTCATTTTTAATATTTTATTAATATTAATAAAAAAAATTAAAATTATAGTTAGATAAAGATACAATATTTACAAAAACAAAATATAAAACACACTTTTTTTTTGAAAACTACTCAGGGTATATTTTCATAATATGTATATCTTTTTATAATAATTTAAATAACACTTAAATAATAAATGTACACAATTATAATAACAAATAAATAAAATCTGTAAAAAATATTATCAATGAAATTTTATATATAAATATACTTTTTTTTTTAGATTTTAACAGCATATATATTTTAAATAATTAATAAATGTAATAATTTTTGCCACATATAAAACATTCCATTAATATTATTGATAATTATAAATTTTATTTTAACTATTGTTTTATTACAACTTTTCTACATATTTTAAACTTATTATTAATTTATTATTAAATTTCTTTTATTTTAACCAACAATCGGTTTATATCTTCCTTCTTCTAATAAATCATTATTATTTTGCATTTGTATTTCTCGTAATGCAGGTTTTATATATCGAAAATAAACATATATTTTATATCCTAAAGTTACTCCTCCAATTACTGTAACACCCATACAAATTTTTACAAATCCATGATGTAGTTTATCCAAAATATAACTTTTTTTTCTATATTTCGGCAACATTTTAACCTAGAAAATATATATTTATTATTATAAATAATTTCAATAAAAATATATAATAAAATTTGGATTTATATTATATTATCTTTATATTGTTCATTGCATAATATATAATAAATATATTTTAACAAATACAAAAACAATAAAATAAAAAATGTGATTTTTATTATTATTACCTAAATATCAATCTTTTTTTAAGGTTATGAACGTATTCTCTATTTCTTGTTCAGATACAATAGTAACTAGAATCAGTTCGACATTAACCAGTTAATTTTCGATTAATATAAGAAAATAAAAAATTAGAAATATTAAAAATACAATTTTTTTATAAATATGATAGTAATTTTAATTAATAATATAATATTATTTGTTTTTAAATATTATAAATAAATCAAAT